CAAATTAATGGAGAACATAAAATTCCAAAAGGTTCAAATAGTTTTTCTTGCAACTATATATAGTGGCATTCATGTAGAATTGTAAAATACATAGATCTAGGCTAATTTTTTTTTCCCTGTTCAAAATTCATGAAAGGAACAGAATCAACCCTAAGCAAAACTGTTGCTGTTTATTTCCAGGTAAATGATCTTTAAGTATGAATCAAATCTTAGGTTAAAGAATCCTTTTAACAGTTGTGCTTAGTTCTGTATGTACAATTTGCTTTAAAGACAACAAAGCTATGTTCCAGAAAATGTTAGATTCTATGTAGATTACACATAGTAATCAAATGACTTTTAGTGTAACTTGTTTGGCACCTTCCAATCTTGAGGTAGAAAATTCAAGACATGCCCTTTGATCATTGGAACTCTTCAGTACCTCCCCACTGCTGTTGAAACCTAGGCTGAATTCATAGATTGAGTGAAGCAATATTGTAGTTAGCCTGCGGTTGGGTTGGCTGGCTGGCAGACCTATTTATGATTTTCATTTTTATGGCTTAGTATGTTGTGTGAACACAGCCATTTAATTAAGTGTCTTCTCATTCCAGGAGGTTGACAGCCATGAGTCCCACTGTGTCCACTTTTGACTCCTGGTTGACTGTGGGAAAGATGTGGTAAGACCCCAATCCTTTCCACACTCTATGTTGTTGGCCCAATTAGGTTGGTTCATCCACCTTTAGGGGTGTTTTTTATCCCTAGGGCAAGAAAGTATCTTGAAGTCTCACCCCAATCATCATAGTTTGTAAACCATGACTTGGTGTGTTGCAGCCATTATGGCTTAATTAGCAAGCCATGATTAAACACTTCTTGAAAAACACAACAAAATCCCTTGGGCTCTGCAGGTGGAATCTTGTGATGCAGCATTAGCAGAATGGGAGAGGCCAAAATGGTTGACCCTTTAATGGGGAGTTTAATGGACAAAATGGGTACTGCAAAGGTTTTGTGCATCTATTTTGTCCCTTATATTACCAGAAAGGGGGAAAGGTTCTGCTGAAAACTGACATTTTGGAATGTTGTCATAATACGCATGGCCTGTGGATTGTCCACCCTTGGTTTAGCGCAAGAACTGAACTCAACCTTAGAACTGGCCATGGAAAGTATACAGAACTTTCAAAAGTTGTAATTTACAGCACACTCAAAATGTAGAATCCTCAAAAGTAAGGTGAAACCCCACACAGTTGGGCAAAATCAAGGAAGTAAATACACAAATTTTAGGAAGATGTATAATACTAGCATTACAGTAAAATACAGAATCTTAGAAACTATAAGAGGAATTTCCTACACTGATTTATTAGTGAGTTCATTAAGGTGGCCCCCTTAAGTCCTGCTGTGCTGCTTCATCATGTCTCATCGGGGTGTTCCTGGGAGAGATGAAGAATGCTGGGAGCATATGCTACAAGCATATAGTCCCATTAAGGTCACCCAGGGTGTGAAGGTCATCTCAGGTGCCCAGCTAAAAGCAAGTAGGCACCTATATTGGGCAGCAGCAATATCAGAAGATGCTGGAGGTGGATGATCATTTTAGTGACAACACCAAGGTATTATTTCATACTGCTTGGGAGAAAGCAATAGTAAATCTGTACAGGTAGTCCCCAGTTTAAGAATGAGTTCTGTTCCCAAGGTCTGTCCTTAAGTCAAATTTGTAAGCTGGAACAGTATTACTGTATAATACTGTTTAAGTAGTATTGTGTATTTAACTCAAATCTTTGTCTATTTAACTAAAATTTTGCTATAATAGGCTCTGTTCTTAACTATAGCTCGCCTGTAACCCAAGCATTCTTAACCCATACACAATGTTCTGTATTGTGACCCTACTGGGACTCCCTGTATTTTACCAAGAAAGCACACAGATAGACAAGATTAAAATGATTAACAATATAATGCCAGATGATGGGCTCCTCAGGTTGGATGGCACTCAAAATGCTATTGAAGAGGAGCTGAGGATCTTTTGAATACTAAAAATGTTTATGGTATGGCTTAATTAATGCCTTGGGGACATCTAATTGCTGATGTCATGCAGGAAAAGAAAATCTGAAGCTACAAAGACAGAATTACAATAAAAACATGCACTGTCAGAAGTATGAACATGGGAAAGCTCACCACAGTGTAAGATGTCAACATGTAATTGATTCATTTCATCTTAGGCATCAGCAATTAGAAATGGACTGAAATTGGACACGTTCAGTCTGAAGATCATACTGTTTTATTACTCAGGCACAAAAAACGAGGAACAGGGTTGTTTTCATAGGAAGGATATAGCAAGAATAGTATTTGGGTACAATGCAATCAATGACCTAATAAAAGTTAGACTTCATGGTCACCCCTTTAATACAATGATTATCCAAGTTTATGATCTAACCATTGATGTAGAAGAAGAGGAAGCTGGTGAATGTTATGGTGAAGTTCAGTCTGAAATCAACAGAATATGCAAGCAAAAAGTGCTGCTTGTGGTTGGAGATTGGAA